ATTTTTTTTTTTCCAAATGAAATACAGCACAGTATTTCCAACAGATGTGGCAGACTGTCTAATTAAAAAATCAAGTCAGGATATCTTTGTAAAATACATGCTGTAGTCAAACCACAAGTCACTACACAGTTCACAAATTACCAGGTGAATGACATGATGTAAAATTACCAGTGTAATTTTCCTGACCTTAACAAGTATGGAATAAGCTTCTGTGATTTTATGTACATTGGTTAGTGTTGCTATAGAATTTTAAGAGGTCTTCCAAAAATACAGTCTTCTGAGATGCTTCAGGGGTTCATTGGATTATTGGATGCCACTTTTTAAACTTAAAAGGAATACAATAAACAATTCTATGCTAGACAAGATTACCCCCTTTTTGGAAGATATTTATATACTTACCATTCCTGCAGCAAAATTTTGCCATTTCACTTCCCAGATACTACTAGGGAGGAAGAAAGCACAAGCAATTTCTGTTGAATGGCTATTTTTACATGGGAATAATCTCTTAAAAATAAAGTTTGGTTTACAGAAATCCTGCCTCTGCCACAGCTGTAATATTGGCATGTGATGCCAGCATTTTCTGCAGAAACAACTTAACACCCTGGACTTCAGCTGAATTGAACTTAAAAGGAACATCTAGCAACTAAAAATCAATCGAATATTTTCCTTGACCAGGTGTTATCAAAATAAATACCAAAAACATTTAATCCTTCGCACGATAAGAAAAGGAAAAGAAAAAGAAAAGAAAAAAGCTAAATGAAGAACATAAGGGTATTAAAACATGGTTTCAATTTATCCTTGCTTTTATGTTGTCTGTTTGTATTATCTGAATGGATAAGGAAATGGTTTAGAGCACGGATCTTGTAGTTGTATCCATTGAATATTTAATTTTTAGCCTACTGTTGGTGCTTAAAAAATGACAAAGTGATAATATCTAAGTTTCTGTGCTATGTGCAATATGAAAATAAGAGAGGTAGCATATGCATTTTTTTCCTTTCCAGTTCTTCATGTGGAAGTGTTTATTTGGACTTTCTCTCACATGTAGCAGCATTTAGTGGTTCTTTAATTTCTTGACTCATCAGTAGACTTTAAATTATTTATGGATTTATAAATACAGAAATATATTTTTAATTTAACTTTAGGCAACCACCTGTCTCTTTCAATAGGAGCTTTAACAACTCCATTGAAGCCAAACAAGCTGGCTTTCAGAGAAAGGAGAATGTAATTAATCTCGGATCACCTCACCTCAAGGATGCCTGCTGGCCCTTTGGAGATTACAATCTAGAAGTGTGAGTACTACCATAAACTCATCAGGCTTTGCAATTTAATGGGTTTCCATCAGTGCTGCTCATTATTATAGTTTATTATGTGCATGAGCGATACATGAGAAAACTTTATATTGTTGTCTAGAGGTCTTTTATATACCCTCTAGATTATATGGAATTGAAACATAGTACTTGCATGTAATGAGGAATGAACCAAAATACATCATAGCATAATTACACACCTGACAAAACCATTATTCCTCTGCCAATCCTTCCTTTTGGAGAGACAGGCAGTTTTATTTGTATTTATTTATTTTTAAATGATAAATGCAGCTTTTCCCCAAAGATGTCATGCAGTGAATCTGTAGTATACAGATGTAGCAATGGAGTCAGGTATAATAACATAAAATAGAATGGAATAGTGATGAGACTTAGAGCTGTTAATTACAGATGAGATGTGATATTCCCATTGCAATTATCCTGTTGGGGTAGATATAAACTAATTTCTTTTCATGTAACTGAAAGATTTTAGGATCAGTGAAATCAAATGTCCATGTTAGGAGCCTTTTGACAAATGGCAAGCTCAATTTTCTATGCTCCTGGGTTAGACTTGCTACAGGAATTGGAAGTGGACATGGGAAGTTCCTTTCTGCTGCCTTTGTACTCACACTGCACAGCCTAAGGTCAGTTGAGTCTGAGCCTTGGCAGAGCACTCAGATTTGCTTTCAGGGGTTTTCTACAGTTATTCTGCATAGTAAAATATGAGCTTATCCAAGTACACCCATTTTGGCATGCCTCTAACACTGACATCTCTATTATGTTCAGGACGTGCCAGTGTGCTGAGGGCAGCCTATCTGGCACATTGGTGCTTTAAATTGCCATAGAGAGATGAAAAGACTGAGATCAAGTGCACGCTCTGTATCTGCATTTAGCCCTCGAGCTCCTTTATTCTAAGCTCTGCTCCAGCACTCCTTCCGTGTGGTCTTTGTGGTCCATTTACTACCTCTGCCTTAGTTTCTTCAATCTATAGAACAGAGATGGTATGCACAAGAATTTCTAAGACCTGATTAGCATTTCCTAAATAGATGTTACTGAGTATATTGCTGTTAATCTTTAGTTTTATACACAATTATAATTCTTTAGAAATTATTAATATGTATATATCTTTAATCTCACACTTCATTATTCTTTATTACCTCTGTTTGCATGCTGTGCTATTGTACTGATTTGGTATTTAATATTTCTTTGCTGCACGGAAAAAATCCCAATTGCCTGTGTTTTGCAATACTTTTTTTCTTTTTTTTTTTTTTCTAGATCATAAGATTTTTCTGGTTAGGACTATTTTTCATCCTACAGCCATGGTGGGGTGATTAGCGTGCTGCTGTTGTGGTTCATACTTGGAGATTTCAATGCTACTTTGGTACAAAAAACATTCACCGTTAATGATAGAAAATGACCCTATTCAGAGTATGAGAATTTAATCTTCCTTAAACCCTGTTTAGTTTGGACTGCGGAAACATTTTCTGGTTGGTTTTGCATGCAATTCCTTGATTATAGCTAGGATGATTTTTGTTACTCCAGTGAATATAAACCATTCGGTTTCATTTCGCTTCACATTTTTTCCCCAAATTATTTGCCTAGCTGCCTTCTTTTACCACTCTGCTGACAATGTTTGTCCCAGGTTGCTGTCTTGCCACAGTAATGAGGAAAAAGAGGGGAAGAAAGAAAAAAGAAAAAAAACGCATACTTAATACCTATCATTTTACTGAAATAACTACCTAGTTATCAGTTTAAGAGTCTGTTCTGTGCAACCAGAAGAGACAGTATCACCAAGTAAACACCACTGAAAGGCCACTAGCTACCAGACAAGTGTCAGAGAACATGACAACATGGCTCTGTTCTTAATTTCACAAACATACAACAAGTATCTTTCTGAGGATAGCCAGTTTGCACTAGTGTGATAGTGGACATTCCAGCTGTGAAAACTGTGATGTTTTCATGAATAAGTATCACTGGAGTCTCCATTAGGCTAATGGAAATTTTGGACAAATTTGAGATGCTAGAAAGGTAAGTTTAGCTTTTGGGGATATATATGTGTGTGTGTGTGTATAAATTTGTGCATAATTTTGCTTCATAATCTGAAATATTTTATTTTACTTAAAAACTAGAAATGGCAACCGTAGTTGTAAACCTGCAAGAGTTTGAGATTTAAATCCAAATCCAATTAGTTGGAAAAGCCTTGCAAATGGAGAGAATCCTACAAAGAACTGGAGATGCTTATTTTGACTATTTGTGGTCATCTGGTGATTGAACAGTTACTTTGTATATGATAAAATCTGGTTTAGGTGCTGCATTTCAAAGACACTAATAGCTTTGCTGATTAACACCTCTCAGTCAGCTGCTCTGTTCATTTCTTCCAATGATGTAAATCACCCACCCAGCTTGTAAACCATTTTTATTCGTAGTGACCAATTCAGATTTGCCTCTTCAGGGAGAATATCTAAATGAAAAAACATTGAGATTTCAGATATCAGTACAGAATTTAACTTGCTAATTTGCCATTTCTTTGTCAAGAGCAGTAAAGCACCTCCTTGAATCCCTCTGCTTCCTCAGCCAAGACATGAAAAGCAGTATCCTTCACGGGTATGTTCACAAGGATATTTCACAAAAGGGCACCAAGATGAATAATAATGTAAGGAAAATTTTAAGTCACAACAGCAAGACCTGGAGAATGCCAATAATATATGTGTTTTGGAACGTAGCTTCCTATTGCAACACCTTTGATAGAATCCCTACAAATATGTTGCATGAAGTGAATGAGTATTGTTTGAATCTCAGTCTGCTTTTTTATAGTATGTGTTCTAAGTGCTGGAGGCTGCCTCTGGTTCCTGGCAGTGTGTTGCTTTCCAGAGGATGCTGCTGCTTATAGCAATCTATTGATTAGTCTCTCTTGTGCGGCTGCTTTCAAAGGCTCAGGTGCTGCATTTTGTTTTCTTTCTTCTTGAGAACTTAAAATGGTGACTTTTGACCCCTAGTTTTAGCTGTTCCCTTGTCCCTGTCTGAATGGCTCTGCTTTCACTGCAGTGAAATTCTCTGCTTTCACTGTGGTGACTATGGCTACCTTGATCTTGGGAATGTAATTATCTAAATTAACTACTTTACTGCTGTGTGGATGTAAAGGAGTGCCCTGATTTTTGCAGGCACTAGGAGGAAACTTGCAGGTCTGCTTCATTTGTTTTCTGTTAGATGGAAAACTTACAAGTTTTAAATAGATGAGTATTTTATTGTGACCTTTGTGCTGAAGGCCATGCTCATTGGAGCTTAATGTAGCCAACCCTGGGATGACTGTATTGAATTAGTCTGCTCTTTTGCTCACTTGTGCAGACCTGCACTTGGATTTCAATTAGGGTGAGCGAATGGAACCGGCACACAGGAGCAGCCGGATTTGCTGGTCCGTGGCCCGCATGGCTTTGCAGCAGCGCAGTGCCTGTGCGGCTCGCTGGAGGAGGCCGCGCTCCCTCTCCACGGATACCCCACCGTGCAGCCACCGGTTTTGTAGCTACCGAAGCGCGCGACC